TTCCTGGCTATGAAAATAATAATAAATTGTTGGTGCTCTATATAACCTTTCATCTCATAATCCCCCAAATCCTCTACAGCTATCTCATTCATTCTCATAATGAGTGGTGAGTAATTGCTAATAGCATTATCTCTGTTTTACAAGTGAGGAAACTGAGGCATAAAGCTTAAGCTGAGGATATTGCATAACCTCTGACACAATCTCTTTTACAAGACAAAGTGTTCATACAATATTATTTTTAATATGCAAACTATGATTTTTTAAAACATTCTTTCTGTGAATGTACCCATTTCTTCTCTAGAAAGAACATTATGCTTATGTGAAGGAAGTGTTTCATTAGAAGGCAAAAAGAAAAAAAAGTGAAAAAATTCTTGACCTCTCTGATCTCTTGACTATTATCTTGAGATATGTTCCAAAATAAAATAATTAAAAAGGCTAATGGTTGCCCCGGTATTAAATCCCAGAGACTAAGACATGAAAACTGTAGCAAGACATAGGCAACATGGATAACTTAAAAAGAATGAGGGGCAGCTAGGTGGTGCAGTGAATAGAGCTCTGGCCTTGGAGCCAGACGGACCTGAGTTCAAATCCAACCTCAGACACTTGACACTTACTAGCTGTGTGACCCTGGGCAAGACACTTAACCCCACTGCCTCACCAAAAAGGAAAAAAAAAAAGATAGCAACTGAATAATACTTAATCTGTACCTATTATAGAAAAGTAGCAGGCCACACTGGCCTGGTAGCAGGCCAATGGAATGGGTTGCCCCTAGAAGTGGTGGGTTTTCCCCAACTAGAGGTCTTCAGGCAAAGGTGGGATGACCGCTTGTCAGATATGTTGGAGAGTCCAGCGATTCTAGTTTAGTTATGGGTTAGGCTACACAGTCCTTGAGTTCCCTTCCAACACTGAGATTTTGTGTGTGTGTGTGTGTGTGTGTGTGTGTGTGAATGCTGGGCTAATTGTTATATTTCCTGCCTTTTCTCTGAAGCACAAAAAATGTGATGTTCAAAAATGCATTACCTTTGAATATTTGTGAGTATCTAGCTAATGGAGAGCACTAAATGGAAGTTACAAAAGCTTTTTTCTTTGTCCTTTAGGAGAGTGTAACTTGGAAGTGTGCTTTCTCTGAGCTGTCATTCTCTATTTGCATAATCTTGAAGACTAACTTTACTATTTTGTGTGAAATGTGTAGAAAGATGATAATCATAACTCATTTATACAACACTTTAAGGGTTGCAATTCACTTTGCATAGGTAATTTCATTTGATAATCATGACAACCCTATCAAGTTAGTATTATTATTATTATCCCCAGTTTACAGATTAGAAAACTGAGAGGTTAAAAGACTTGCCCAATGTCACCCAGAGGTAGGGCACATGCACATTCACCAGACCCCCTTTACATATCAATGTAAGAGGGCAGGATGTTTAAAAGCTTTGTTTTGTAGCTATCTCAATCTAGAATGGCCTTCTGGTGCTTGACTGGGTGTCCTCAGTCTGTAATACATTGCATCTGAACCCTGGAAGCTAGAATCAAAAAACAAAAGCAGTGTCAAACCACTTCTTTGAGATAAGAGAAGTATAGGGATCAACCAACTGCTAAGGGCAAACAAATTCCTTATTTTTTGTTGGAATTCCTTTGAGGAAGAGGAACTCAAAGAGGGATATGTCTTCTTCCTTAATTTTTTTCCTCTTTCATTTTTACCTCCTTCCTTTCACCTCTAACAAAGCTTCACAATGAGACAGGCCATGCCTCTCCATATTACAAAGACCTGTTTTCTTGGAAACTTCCATAAGACTATAAAAACCTCCTGTAACGTACTCAGTTGTCTGCATGATTTGGATGTAATTATGAAGAAGATGGGCTTAGCAATTATCCAAGAAGTCATATGCAGCATCTTATTCCCTTAAAAAGAGGAACTTTCCACATTTAATTTTGTAGTCTATCACTTTAAAGTGACCAACTTTTTATATAATAACCACACAATTTAAATTTGAAGATACGAATTCTTTGTTGTTTTTCCTTGAATGTAACTAATTTTACTGTTAATTTCATATTTCAACCTCGTCGTGACTGAAGTGTATCACTGTTGATTGAAAAATCAATCTTTTGGGGAAATGAGGATCATTTTATTTAATTAGGTTCTTCCTTAAAAAGTTGTCAATTTATCTTGATTTAAGCATTTTCATATGAGAAAAATGAAGAATTGAATATGGATAAAAAAGAGAATTCCTAGTGATTCTTTCTTTCATACTAGATTTTCAGATCTATATAGCTATCCGTTTTCACAAGCAAGTGCAACACATCCAATGATACTGTGTTAACATAATAAAAAAAATATATTAAGTGTCTAGTATGTGCAAGGCACTGTGAATACAAACAAAAAAGGAGAAAATCCTTGTCCTTAATGAGCCTAGCATCTACTGAAATATTTTGTATAGGACAATATTTGGATCAAAAAATCACAATAATGGAACTCTGAATTTTTTTTTTTGTTTGCTTCATGTTAGTAATGAGAGAAAGCTGTTAAGATAATTAGATTACAGTACAGGTAATTTATCTCAAGAGTATAATGTCTTCACTACCTGCATATTGTTGCACTGAATCTCTTATCTTCCCTATCACCAAGTGTACTTCTCTGAACAAGGAATCATAAAATCTGAGACAGGTCAACCAATCTACTTCTTACTTGAAGCAGTAATCTCTTATCTTATAGCAACCTGGGCATCCAAATTCCACATTGTCTGAGAGACTTTACTGTGTACCAAGACAACTGTTTGTGTGATCCTTTTGGACAATTTTAAATGTTAGCAAGTTTGCCCTCAGAAACAAAATCTTCCCCTTTGTAACTTAAACCCATTGGTCCCTGTTCTGAGTTTTTTTTTTAAAGACCTTTTGGGTTTGGAGGTGCTTAAAGTCTGATAACTTTAATCTGAACTAATCCTGAGCTCCTCTGATATTTATTATTTGTCTTTAGTATAGCATTGTGACCATTGCTCATATCATACAAGATACAGCCACCAGTAATGAGACCAAAGGTGTTTTACCTTTGAGACCAAGTACCTTCACTGACTTATTTCAATTTTTTTGTTACTTTCACAGAGGAAAAAAAAGTCTTTGTTCATGAATAGCTAGCTCAATGTTTGTGAGCAGTCCCATGTTTATTTTTTTAAGCCAAATTCCCTACCATACAAAATTTAAATTTTATTGCATTATGAATGATGCTAGTGAACTTTGTTGAGAATTCTCAAAACAAATTATTCCATTATCAAAAACCCTATGTTAGGTAAGATTTTTCTGGAATTGTTTTAAAACAGAATTCTTCCCACCTTCAGAGTACATTATTGTTTTGAAATATATCTTCTTTTATAGATAGGAACTCTTAAGTTCATTCAGGGGATTGATTATTAAAAGTATATGGCTTTTCCTTCCAAATGGCAAAGTAGTGAAGTGATGTAGTAAAGGAAGCAATAATCTCGGTATTTGGGGTAATTTCTTAATTGAACATTCAGAAAATTCAAATCACATTAAAACCGCAAGTATCATAGGCACTTTAAAGGGTCAAATGACTTTCAGAGGAAAGCAATATAATCCTGTATTAACTCTTAAGGATGAAAACAAATGGAGCTCCTTTCCCTCCTACCCCCTTCAAAATGAATTGCTCTACTGGTTAATGGATTCTGATTTTTCTTTCAGTCCCCATATAGCAAAGGAGGGTTGGACATTATTTTGAGGGTTTTAAAATTTCATTTATCTGAGGGGTCATTTACATTGCTCTCAAATAATTTGATATAATGTGTACTGCTATCTCACTTGCTTTGGGAATATGAGTGCAACAAGTTTCCATGGTTATTCTTTGGTTTTATACTTTAAAGGGCTACTACCCAACTAGAATTTAACTTTGTATCTAATCAATTGTCTTCATCAATACCTTCAATTTAGAGGAAAACGCATTGTTTAAAAACACCATTATCCTAAAGACCATGATTTCATATTTTTATTTGCTGAGATTACTTTTGTATAAACAAGCGTGACAAAAAGGAATTTTTCCATTTTCTTCCTTTGAGTATTCCAATTTTTTGGTAGGTAGGAAAGGAACTGTTTTACTGAACAAATTTTCAGAAAATGGTAGTGTCTGAAAAAGGAATGGGTTTTGTCACTCCCTTTGGTAACAAGTGGATGCTCAGGACCTATCTTGAAAAAGATGGACTTTTGCTTCACACTTCACTAAGGGTTTTCCAGAAGGACTCCAGCCAGCATAACTATTATGCCTAATTGCAGTATTGTTGCTCCTCTTGAACTTCTTGGGGCTGTACAGTGAGACCAGAATTCAGAGCCCCACACAAGTTTGTAAAAATGTTTTCTGTGATGTTAATTGGTCTTTGTAAGAGAAGATTAAGTGGAAGTAGTGCAAAAGCACAGAGAGGGTGCTTATTGAGTATAGAAATGACACAGTGAATATGTATTTGACTTGGAAAATATTTTATTTGAATAGTAAATAGTTATACAGTTGAAACAGTTCTATTGAAGCATTCTATAAATAGCTAACAATTAAGAAAATAATGTGTGTAGAAAAGAGATTGCATCTAAAAGTAAGAGCTGTCAGTTGTACAAGAGCTGTCTGAGCCCTCCAAGCAAATGGTAAGGTTGTATGTAATCGCTCAGATAGGTATAAAAGTTAAAACTTTTAGCAGATCCCTTTAGAAAAAGACCCTCTTCTAAAATGCACAGTGAAATGTCACAAGTGGCAGAAAAAAAGCGCATCAAAAATATCTGCAATCAAATAATATCATAATTTTCATAATATAAATAAATAGTGAATAAATAACACTCATAAATCAACATATACATTTAGAGTAAACTCATATGGTCCTACCGCAACAAAGATTATCAAACAAAAAAGTTGACATGTAATATTAAGGCAATTTCTACAGCATACTCTGAAAACTTCCCCCCCCCCCCCCCCCGCAAAAAAACAACCCTGAAACAAAACAGCAATTCAAGGCATTTGTGGCTATACTAAAGAAAACTCTTTTTTAAGCAGTTTGATTTGTTCACATACAAAAAGGTAAAGCCAGAATCCAGCAGTTCACAAGCCATAATAAAGCTAATCATGTGGTAAATTCAATTTACAGCCTGTGAAGTATAAAGGCATTATTCCTTAAGATTGACTAAAAACAACCCGTAGGCTAAATACATGTAGAGAAAAGAGTAGAGATGGGTAGAAAGGAAGAGAAAACGGAGACTTTCTAAAGACCGTCAACACATCGAACACTAGCAGTAAAAACAGTTGCTTTGCAAAAGGATTCAGCAGGTACATATTTTGAGCTTCCAAAAAATCCGAAGGAAAGGGGAATAGGGTAGGGTAAGGGAGGAACACCAACAAGGAGACAAAAGTGTACAGCTTTTTCTTCCCTTTTAACAGAAATAAACCAGCTCTTGTGAACAAGTTCACCTGGAGAAAATGAAGGAGAAGTTGAAAAAAAAAATAAATCACAATGGAGTTGGGAGAGGGAGGAGGGTGGGGGTGAAGAGTTGGTTACCAGCACGCTACAAGATCAAGACAACACTTTTCACGTTTCAGTTTTCACCACCAAGCGCGTTTCATTTACGAACGCCAAGAAAGCAGTTTGGGGTGGAGCAGGAGGGGCAGGGCTGGGGACAGACTGATGGACTGAAGGACCGACGGATGGGGCTCACAGTCTCTTTGTGGTTCTACAAGCGAAGGCACACTTCTTCAGGGGCTGGGGAGCTGGGGTTATCGGCGCTGGGGGTGGGGTGGATATTTCTGACAGGGAAAAGGGGTTAGGTATTTTTCTTCTTCTTTCTTCCTTCCTTCCTCTTTTCCCTTTCCTTCTCCTCTTCTCTCCTGTTCGGAGCAGGTTCTCTAGCAGGCGGGACGCACAGGCACCTGCAGCAGGATCACCTGTCTGTTCTCCGAGGGGTGGCATTTGTTGATGTGCCGCGTGAGCCCCGGCGAGCTGTAGAAGGTGGCCGGGCAATATTTGCAGGGGAACACCTGGGCCGCGTGCAGGAGGCGAAGGTGGCGCTCCTGGCCACTCTTGCTGGGGAAGGTCTCCCCGCACACTGGGCATAGATGGCACTCGGCGGGGGCACTCATGTTGAGGGGATTCGACGCTTCTCCTTCGCCCCCGGCTTCCTTCCCCGCCTTCTCGGGTGGTGGCAGCGGCTGCAAGCCGTCGGACCCCGGGTAGCTGGGGTAGACCAGCAGGTCATCCGGCTGGGAGGGCGGGAGTGGGGGCTGGGGCTGCGGTGCCCCTTGGGCCGCCCCCTTGCTCTGCAGGGCCTGGTGATGCGCCAGCAGGTGCTTCCTCAGGTACGCCTGGCGACGGAACTTTTTTCCGCAGTGGTGACACTCGTACAGCCCGTCCTCGGAGCCTGACTCCGACACCCCAGGGCTCGGCGTGTCCCGGTCGCTACCGCCCGCCTCCTTCGGCTCGCCACCAGCCCCAGCCTTGGCCAGAGCCTCCTCTGCACTGCCTTTGCCCTCGGCTGCTCGGGCGCCCCCAGCTGGCGGGGCCAGGGGACCCGCGGCGGCGACGGCTGTCCCCGGGGCGTGGTGCCCGCCGGCTGCGGCGGCCTGGGGTCGGGGCTTGTGCCAGCGGCGGTGCGAGGCGAGGTTGGCGGGGCAACTGAAGACCTTGTCGCACTCGGGGCAGCGGTACTCCACGCGCACAATGCGGGAGCACTTGTGCTGGGCCAGAGCAAACGGGTCCGCATACTCCTCCTTGCACAACTGGCAGATGAACTCGCCCAGCGGCCGGCCCCCGCCGCCACCAACGCCCCCACCGCCCGCGCCGCCGCCCGCGCCGCCACCACCCCCCGCAGCCCCACCGGCTGCCCCCAGCCCGGCCCGGCCTTTGGGCGGCTCCACTGGGCCCTCCTTGATCTTGAGGCCCAGTACGGGCGACGTGGTCACCTCGTCCTCGAAGTGCAGCTTGCGGATGGCCTTTGGCTTTTTCGCGGTCGGCGCTTTGCCCGGCTTGGCCGAGGGAGCACCGGCCTCTGCAGTAGGCACGGGCGCAGGCCGTTTACTCGGGTGCCGCAGGGTGGCGGAGGCGGCGGCGGGACCGGGGACCGACAGCAGGCTGCCGGCCGGGGGGTGGTGGCTGCCGGCGCCCCGGCCCCCACCTCCGCCTCCAGCCTCCGCGCCAGCAGCAGCAGCGACCGAGGAGAAGGCGGTGCCCATCTTGAGGTCGGCAGGGGCGAAGAGAAGGGGGTCCCCGCCGCAGGTGCCCCCCCCCAACGCCGCCGCTGCTCGCGCCGCCGCCGCCGCCGCCCCCGCCTCCCAGCAAGGATGTGGGCGTGGGGAAGGACTCCGCGGAGACTGGCGAGCCCAGGTTGAAGCTGCGCTCGAAGTACTTCTTCTTCTCGTGCTCCCGGCTCACGGGCCGCGTGGGGCTGTACAGCGGCGCCGGGTAGACCGCCTCGGGGTTGCCGAACTGCACGGGCTTGGGGCCCGCGGCCGGTTGCGGCGGCGCGGGCAGCTCTCGGGGAGGCAGCGGCAGCGGCGGCGGCAGCAGCAGCGGGGCCGGGGACGCACTGGCCAGCAGCGCTGCCGGAGCCCGCTCGGAACCGGGGAGGGACGGGGAGGAGCCGCCGCCGCCGCCGCCGCAGCTGGCGAAAAGCAGCAGCTCCCGGTCGCCGTCCTCACAGCAGCGGATCCGGTAGGAGACGGGCGTGGACTTCTTGTTTCTTTTCACCAGAAATCCTCGGGGCATCTTTGGATTGCTGCGCGGGGCGGGTTGCCCCGGAGACTGAGGAAGGCACTGGAGGGAGCGGTGCAGGGATGCGCCCTTCTCGGCTCTCTCGCCGCGCGCCTCGGAACGCACTCTCTAGTCCTTGCCTCCTTCCTCTCTGGCTGGTACCCGGTTCTCTCAGCGCCTCCCGCCGTCTTCGCCCATCAGTCTGGCTCCGCCCGCAGTAAGCAGTCGCGAACTCTTTCGCTCCTGCCTGCTGGTGTGATGTCTGTGGGACGTGTCTGTGGTGCGCCTTTTTTTTTTTCTTCCGTGCCCCCTCAAACACGTCCCTGTTCTCCCCTGCCTGCCCAGATAGCTGCACTCTTTTTAAGGGGGGGAGGATGCCATTGTTCTCGCCTCCCGCTCCGTTCCGAGCCAATCAGCGCTTCCCATTGCTCCTATGGATTTGAGGGTGGGAGGGCAAAGAGGTTTGAAAAAAGGGGGCAGGGACTTAGGGGTTGCTTGGTAGGTATAGCAGATGTACCTGAGGGTGTTTTCCCCCTTTTCTTTTCTTTCCATCCCTCCCTCCCCTTTCCCCCCCCCCCCCCTTTTGCCTCCTATTTACTTCTGGCCCCTCCTGGATAGAGGCACACGCCTGGCCCCTCCTCTTTTCACGGTCTGATGGTTTTCTATAGGAAGGCACACGTGCCTTGGCTTTGTGTCTCTCCTCCGGGGGGCACAGATCTGCCAAATGGAAATGTCCATCAGCATCACAATGAGCAGCATCTAAAATCGGTGGGATTACCCGCAGTTCTGGAGCAAAATAGCAACAAAGAAGAAGAATGGCCCAAAATATGTCAGGAGGGTTCAATATGCAAACTGAAGTGGAGGGCGAAGTTGGGGGGGGCACCGGAGTGGGGAAAAGTGTGGTGTGGAAAAGAAAAAACGGAGAAAGATGGTGAAGAGGGCACAGTCAGAAATGTGACATCTGAATTGTTTAAGAAGTCAAAGATAGGGAAGAAAGGATGGTATTTGGAAAATTAATAAAAGTGGAAAATAGTAGAAACCTGTGATATCTAAAAATCAACACACCGAATCCAAAACCGACTTCTTCACCGGGATAGCAACCCAGAAAATTCCTCAGGGAAGCTGTATTTCAAGTGAAAATAGAAACACTGCTAAACTATTTATGCTAAACTGAAGGGATTTAGGAATTCAGACTGTATCTGAATTACTGGAGTGAAATGTTAGTATCCACATCATCAACTCTTTCTCTCTTTAAAAGTCTTAATTAACTTCAAGAAGTCATTTCACACTTTTTGATGGATTAGTCTGAATCTTCTTTTCTGCTTTCAAAAAGAACTTACATTTTGAAACAGTTTTTTTTTTCTTTTTGGTAGAGTCCTACCAAAACTAGTTATTTCCTGTATCTTCATAATGCCCTATTAGAGCTCATCGTTTGTGCAAAGTTGCCCCTGTGCTCCCCTACAGCACAGTCATTTCATTTATTCAAGTATTTGCAAAATACCAAAATTCACGTACATATCAATCCATTTTGATAAACTTCTTTTAAATTATCCTTTGCTGCCTCATGCATTTTAATTCAGTTCGTGCATTTTGTCTGCTGTTTGACATCAGATGCTAAATCAAGGGGTCTAATCAAGTAGCTAAAAAATAAAGGGCCTGTCTGTCTCTGCACAGTAGCCTCCCAGAGCCATGCCCCTTTCACCTTTGTGAAGGAAATTAACCTCCTTCTATTGAACACGAACCGCGGCCAATCTGGACGAGAAAGAGACGCGTGCTGCGGGGCCGGGGAAGGGGGGCTGGGGGAAAGAGGAGGGGTGAGTGGGGAGTAGAGTAGAAGGAGGGAGAAATCTGTCCACCAAGACAAGGCAACGGTTTTAAAGAGGACAGGCTGCCGGTTTTACACCAGCTAAGTCATAACAGCTAAAAGAAACAAGGTAGTCGGTCTGCGCCCCATCCCCTCCTCAACCCCACGTTGAAACAATCTAGCAATTTCTTCTAATCCACATTACAGTTCACGTCATTGGGTTCAATGCAGGGGCGGGGGGGGTGATAGAGAAGAGGCTCTAATGAGGATAAACTCCTAGGTGACAGTCTATTATGTAGAAATAGGATAAAATGTCCACAACTGTATTTCTTAACGTTGTCTAAAATACTATAAGAATTAAATCCACATAAGATGCAACATGGCAAAAATAATTTTTCTAACAAAAAAAATGGAAATTTGATTGAAAGCATCACTAATTTGGGTTAGTTTGCCTTGACAAGAGTTTTTGGTGGTGTCTAATCTCAGGGAAGGTATTAGTTATTTTTGTTTTTTTTTTCCTCTGAGCAAATCCTAAAAATACAAACTGACCACCAGTTTTACAATGTCCACATGTGCAACAGTCTTTGATCTCTACCTAAGTCTCTATGTAAGAAAAGTTCCAAATCAATGTAATTCATAGACATTTGTTGATTTGAGGTTGGAGAGCGTCTAAATGTCAAAATAGGCAGAAAACAACCATTATGAGATACAATTTAACAGTAGTCAACTTGATTTTTGAAATATTAATCCCAGTTAATGGCAGCTCTGTAAAATATCAAACCCTAGATTCAAAAATCTAAAATTTATAAATATTTCCCATCAAATGTTGTATTCAATCCCTCCTTTCACCCCTTGACTATTATTTCTTTTAAAACTGGAAATGGGAGAGGTTTCCGTGGCTACCTGCCCCAGTTTTTCCTAATTACGGATTCCACCTGGATTGCTGTGCAATAGCAGTATTCAGAATCACCTTCCCCTTCAACAGTACACAGCATATTTTACATTACACATATAACACTCCCATTTATTTAACAGATAACTAGGTAAAATAAGTAACCTTGCAAACCTCAAAAAAAAATAATTATTGAAAGAACACACATTAATGTAAGACCAGCAAAAAAAAAAAAAAAAAAAACAACACCAAAACACCCCCTCTTTGCACACAGGGAATTCAAACAGTGCTATGAATTAACCAAAGAAAATCTATTGAATCCTATTGAGATACTTAGATTCAAAGGATCTGTTTCTTTTTGTTGTTTTCCTAGCTCTAGCCAGCTGAAATAAAAACTGCTTTCAGTCTCTTAGGGTAAAGATGAATTGAGACTTGAAAGGTACAAGTATTTCTAAACTAATTTTACAACCCAGGGCCGGACCAAAAAAATGTCGCAAAAAAAAAAAAAAAGCCTTCAAAACAGCTGCAGCAGATTGTGTTGACTGAGAGAAGCTGGGACTTCGTGTCTGCTGTACTTTTTTCTTTTTAATCTCTCTACATACATACAGGTTTTATTGACATAAAATAAAGGTACTTATTTTAATCTCTGAATATCAAAGTATCAAATCCCATTCTGCCATCATTAAAACCTGTTCCTATTCACTTAATATTTGCTTTTATTTCTTTCTGTAAATTGTGGGTCAATTTTTTTCCATTTGAGGACTCTTGAGGTTAGTCTGAATTAGTCTTTATAGCTTTCTGGTTAGCAGGTTCCCAGTAGGATTGAGTGTCCTCTTCTTAATAACCCCTACCTAGCCCTCAATTCCTGCTGCCCACATTAGTCTTCCCAGGGACTTCAAGCTGGAAGCCAAACTATATTGGAATTTGCTGTAACACCAGGACTCCGACTCCAATTGCAGACTTTGTTATTCCCCTCTACCCCCCGGCCTCTTTTTTTTTTTTTTTTTTTTTTGTGGGAAAAAAACAGATGCGGTCTTTTACTTTTCCCACTACAGACCCTTATGCTGGGGAGGATAGCACAGGAGCGGATTTGTTTTTTGTTTTACCTCTAGTTTCAGTCAATGAACGTCTTGATTTTTTTTATTACTTACTGGCCCCACCCACCTGATAAGGTCATTGGGGTGCAGGAAATTTGCTAATGGGCCCTGGTAAGAGGGTGACAAGAGGGTTTTTAGCGAAGTACAGTGTTGTATTAGCGTCCAACTTTGCTTAGCCTCTTAAGCAGATAAATAATCAACCTCAAAAGGAGAATTCCCTAGCTTTACTGTTTGCAAGTGACCAAGGCACCTTTTTAAAGGCCGAGACTTAAGGGGACTGGTTAGTGCCACCTCCTTCCTCTCTAGCTTTGAGCGGAAGAAAAAAAGATGACTGGAAACACCGCTCTTCCCGTCCCCCCCCCCCCCCGTTCTTCCAATAACCATGTGCAAGAAAACGCAGGTTGCAGTTAGAGGTTCATCAGGTTTTCTAAGACCTATTGTAGCAAAAACTATAAACAATGGGCTGTGTTGCTAGTGTTTGACCCAGGTCGAGTTGGGACCCGGGAGAGAGTGTATTGTGTTTGGAGGAATTAGTGATTGTTGTGTCTGTCTGAGGGGCACGCGATCGACACGCGAACCCTACAGCCCCCATCTCCTCCCCCTTTGCCTCTATTCACCTTACCCTCTTTCCCCATTCCCCCGCCCCTCTCCTTTGTTCAGCATATTAGCATAAAGCTGCTATGGATCTCCCGTTTAAATAATTACACACAAAAGAATAGTACATGAAAGAGAGAAAACAAGAAAGAATCCATGAGGCTGTTCTATTCCACCCAGCTCCGGGGGAAAAAAGAGCTGAAGTATTTTCCATCCCTTAAGTTTCAAGTATCCCCCTGACAATCTGCTCTACTCCCATTATTCAGCTTTGGGGTGATGGGATGGAGACCATCTCTTTTATTACACAAAGTATGTCTGTTGGAGGAGTATTCTCCTGTAAGTAGAGCACTTATGGCTATTTATGTCTACTTCAGGTAGGAAATTCAAGAAAGATAAGGCCTAAATGGCAGAAAGTCTGAGCAGCCGAAAGTTTTGTATTTTCATTGTGAGGTTGTCAAAAGACATCCATCGGTCCTAAGAAGATAAATATGAGCACACAACTGTGTGTGCTAAAATCACAGTCCTGGTTCGAAGAAGGACAGGACAAACTGGGAACCCTTTGTGATTGTCTAACATTAAATAACTTTTAGCACAAAGAATGAAGATTAAATTTTCCTTAACCTTTTCAGTG